TCATTATCATTATCATTATCATTATTATTATGAAGTCTTTTTAAAGTATCTTGGTAACACTAAGAAGTCCAAAAAGGGAGCCTTTGAGTGCAAAGTAAGGTTTGGTGAAAAACATTTAACATCGTGAACTTAAGGCTTTCATCCCATTCGCCTCTCTCAGGTGAGAAAGGAGCTGAACAGGAGAGACCCACAATAGTCTTTAAAGCAAGAAGCCTGAAATTAGTAACCTGATATCTGAACAAAGTGTAGTAGATGGTAATATAATTAATAGATTTTTAAGAACTTCTTATTTTGATTACTGTGTTGCATGCTGTAGGCAATGCAATGGTGGAAACTCCATAACAATATCACTGTGAAATAAGCTATTTGTCTGCTGATAACTGGGAGCATTTCTGTTTGAAATCTAATTTCCATCTTCCTCTCTGCTCTTGCTGGATTCTTTGTGTGGAAAAAGTCTGTCCTTGAAATGTGACGTAGGAAAAAAAAATGTTTAATCTTCACACAGGATTTGTGATAGAAAAAAAGATCTATAATGAGTCATTGAATAATTTAGAATAGCTGAGAGGTGCTCATACTTTTTATTGACCGTAAGATAGTTTCTAACAAACTTGAGAGGAAGTGCTCCTTCAGCACCTGAGTAAAGGTATCTCTAGATATTCAGGCTGTGTGGGAAGGTGGAGAATTCAGGTGATTGCAGCGTCTTTTTCTATAAAACTCCGGCAGTATTTTTTCTTTTAACAATAAATTTCCATGCAGTAAATACGAAGCTGGAATCCGTGTTGCAACTGTAGGAAGTTCCTTTTGTGGGAAGGAGGGTAAGATCAGACTGAATGTGCATCTTTTCTCTTACTCTTTCAGAAGTAGTACATCTGTTGGGAGTGAAAATGCCCTTCACATTTCACAAAAATAATTTAAAAAACTCCAATAAACCAACCAAACAAAAAAACCCCAAAAAACCCCCCAAAACCCCACCAAAGTGAAGGCAAGCTGCCCAGGCCAGCTCCCCCTGAAGCCTCACTGCTGTGACAGGTCACTATTTCTTCATTTGTTGCAGGAGAGAATTTCGACCAGAGTCCCTTAAGAAGAACCTTCAAATCCAAAGTTTTAGCCCATTATCCTCAGAACATCGAGTGGAACCCCTTTGACCAGGATGCTGTCAACATGGTAGGTAAACTCTCTTCTCAAGCTGTTTCCTCACAACTCCAGCTCTCACCTGGTTCCTGGGTTGTTCACAACTATCCCTTGTAATGGGATGAACAAGCACTTCTGCTGGGACTAAGGGCACCCACTGGGCATGCTGGTTGAAAAGCTGCAGGGGAACAGGAAACGTGAAAATACAGAATACTTCCAGGCACAGCAAAAGTAAAATGTTGTGTTTCCCTCATTAGTTCTAACTAAATCTGCTGCATGATGGAACAAGTCTAGCCACCAGCTGAGTGGCTGGGTGGGAAGGGGTGTAGTCACCTGGCATCGACAGGTGGGAATGGCGTGAATGAAGGAAGTTTTAAGATTTTTCACCCATGTGAAATTGTGTTTAAAAAAAACCTGGATGCTGCATATAGCAAAGGAGAGAGGAATCTTTACAGAGAAGCTGGAACTTACCTAAGCCACAGCTTTTGTTGGCTGGTCCCTTTTAATGGCACCTCTGCACCAATGCATCATCTGTACATCTCTTTCCTCCCTTTGAAAGGGAGAGAAAACATGACTCGTAGGCAGAGTGATTGCTTGAGACTTCAGAGGGTTATGATTTCAGAAGGCAATTGAAATTCCTTATGCATCCAGCAAAGCCAGAGTTCTCCCAAGTTAACCTTCAAGGATTTATGCATTTTCTTCTCTGAGGAAAATTGCTTCTGGAAGCTCCCATAAAGCAAACACACGGGCAGAACTAATACAGCAAGGCACGATCAGAAAGGCCAATAATTGCCTCAAGGGATTCTGTGAAGGTGGATGTTACTTTAAATGATGTTTCAGATCAAAACAATAAGGAAGTTTTCCTAAAAAGAGATTTAAAAGGCCATTAAATAATGCTGCTTGTTAGTAAGCACTTTTTCTTTTTTCCTCCAAGACACATTGCAAATGAAAGATGCATTCTTCAGCTACTTGATTTCAGCTGAGTGCAGCTCAGTACAATTATTTTATTTTAATAGGTCTCTTGCTGGTTTTACTATTCCATTTTTGTCCAATAATATGATCACACTTCATGAATACGAGGCATTTGCAACTGTAATGTGAGAGACAAATAGTGCAGCAGTTCTAGCTATTCCCTCTTGCTCCTGCTGCACACTCCCCACCGCTTCTCCTCTGAACACCTCCGATTCAAGGGCAGCACTGAAAGGCATAAGTAGTGTCCTGGTGTGAGCTGGGCCAGAGCTGGTTCTGTTCAGCAGCTGGAACAGCGCTGGGGTTTGGGTTCAGCTGGGGCTTGGTAGGAGATGAAGTTTGATAATGTACTAATGTTTCCAATTGTCGCTGGAAGTTGAAGGACTTTGTATTTTGCCAGTCTACAAGTGGAAGACCTAAGGAGGGGGTGAGGAATATTGCCATGGATCAGCTCCATGGGCATTTGGCTCTGCCAAGGGGCTGTTCCATCTCCTGTCCCCCATGGGCAGGAGATCCATGAGGGGCTCTTCCTCTCTTGCTCTCTCTGGCTTTGGCTCGGGCTCTGGCTCTCCCGGGATTGCGGTTTCAGTTCTGGGTTGTCACTCCTCTGGGATAATTTTCTGGATAGTTTTTTGTGGTTATACACAGATACAATGAAGGTGACCAACTGCCCTCTCACCATTACTCAGCCAGCTTCGCCAGCAGGCAAAACCTTCAGCCCCCAGGACATCCTGAGCTGCTTGTCCCCAACACTCTCCTGTGGAACGTGTAAGAAACACAGAGAAGATGGGAAGTGATAGATGTCCGAGGCACTAAGATGAAAGATTTTATGCATTAACTGCAAATCTGAGGCTTTCTGTACGGCTGGAAAATGAGCACAAGCCTTTCCTTTTGATCTTGGCTTCTTAAGCAGCTCTTGGTCGTTCCTTCCTGCCTCGGTGCTTTCCCATCTTCTTTCTTCCTCTGCCTTTTCCTGTGTCATCTTGTTGGTCTGACGACAGCGGCGGTCTCTGTGCCAGGCTTTACAGACCGAGTCTTAAAATGTTGATATTCTGCATATGCTGGGCTGTGGCTGAAGCTTATTTGCTGGATGTCCCTTTCTCTGTATGTACTCAGTATATAAAGGACGAGTGAATAATAATTAAGACTTGGAGGTAATTTATTTAATACAGCCTTCTGAAACTGTCTCAGCTGGTCTAAATTTTCTTGATGCTTATCTGTTCTTGATTGTACTAGTACAGATAATTTGCTTGTCCAGGTATTTTTCTGTAAAGTGAAAAAAACCCACCTTTGATAGCATTGCGATTAGAATCTGTGATTTCAGCCTGATCAGGTTTGATAAGGCTACAGCTGACATTGAATGTCCACATTCTAGAAATACATTTTTATTAAGCAAGCTTACAAAAAAAAGAGGTTAAAAAATATTTATTGTGCAGCATAAATTTAAATAAAGTACAAAACAAGGATTTTCTTACTGCTGCTTTATTGGAGAAGCCTTAACCATGGCACTTGCTGTTAATGCTTCAATAAAAACTATCAGTCTTTTGAATGAAAATGAGGCTGCTGTTCAAAAACGGTTCAAGCTGCAATTTCATGGCTTCTGTCAGCAGAGCCCAACAACTGAATTAAATTCTTCTATCGACTCCAGGCTACTTATTTCCTTATACCTTATATTTTAGAGGAATAGGTAAGAACTGCCCTAGATAACTTAGGGGCTTGCTAGCATGTTGTGAAGTGAGTCAGACCACTTGCCTAAATCCCAGCTGGGCTGGTAGCAGCTTTATCAGGCTGTTGAACAGGCTGGGAAGGGTACACTGCTGCAGTTCAGGGTAGGATGAGCCTGAAAATATAGAATTATTTCTCTCCATCTCTTCCACCATCAGAAACATTAACTCCTGGACAAGGTGAAACATTAGGGGGTGCACTCAGCAGTGTGTAAGTGACACACGATACTATTAGTAATAACATTAGTACTAATTAGTACTAATAACATTAATACTTTATCAACATTCTTCTCATAACAGATCCCACACTGAACCCAGCACACAGCTGTTCCAGCTGCTGGGAAGAACATTAACTCTGTCCCAGCGAAACCAGGACAGTAGATTCACATCCCTTGGGAAAGTTGGCTTCTGGTGTTGCCTTTTGGAACAGGAGCAGCACTTGGAAGGGTCTCCCTCTCTTTCCTTTTATTCCTTCAGATGGAAGGTGCAAAGGAAGCTTTAATTCTCCATTTGTGAACATACTGATTTATCGAGAACATGAGG